TCTGCTATGAATGTAGGTGTAGTTTTAAATGCATGAGCACAGATTAATTCCAATAAGAAAAAAAATTAGCGTGTGTCCTCAGTGTTCATCTTCAGGATGTTTTTCATTAAAGTCCCTTCAGTACAGCACTGTTTGCTATAGTGTTGTATCAAGTTAGCTCACATTAAATCCTAGTAAAGTAAATTATGAGGTGTCTTAGAAACTGAGGACGTATGTTGTAGTGATACTGCGGGTATAACAGATTTTCTGCCTATACTTCATTCATCCCTCCATTCAGCCGTTTGGCAGATATTTAATGGTCACCTACTATGTGCCACCAGGGACTAGTACAGAAAATAAGAGAAACAAGATTCTTGCCTTAATGAAACTTATTTTTGATTGAGACTGAGGAGACAGTCAAACAAGTCAAGACACAGTATTTTTCAGTTACTGGTATGTGCTATGAAGAAAGTAAAACTGGGTAGTAGGCTTGAGAGCATCTGCGTGAGTGGGGTGGGACGCTTGACATGAGACCTGAATGGCAGGAGCCAGCCCTAGAAGGTCTGGGATGGGGCAGCCGAGGCAGAAGGAGCAGCAAGTTCACCGGCCATGGAGCCGGACTAGTCGGGTGAGTTTGAGGAACCCAGAGGGAGCTAGCTTGTCTAAAAAGGCCTGGGGATTGGGGTAGGGGGCCAACAAATGAGGCTTGAGAAATGGGCAGAGGCCAGATTTAATTCTAACAACAGACCATCAGAGGCATTTAATCAGGGGAGTGGTATGATTTGATCCATGTTTTGGAAGCTCACCATGGCTGCTGTGTAGAGAATGAACAATAGAAGGAAAGACAAGAGAGAAAGCAGGGTGACCAGTTCAAAATATCAAGACCAGCCGGTTGAGAATCCTGCAGTTGTCAGTGTTTTTGCAGTGTGTCCCTCCGTGAGTTACACTCATATATCAATCCTTGTGCGTAGATCTTTGCACACTTGTCCAATTATTATTCTTTAAGAGAAATTTCTAGAAGTGGAATTACTGGGATAAAGGGCATACACATTTAAAATTCTGATCGCAGTTACTCAGCCACTTTGCGGAAAGGTTGTTCCCAGTTTTCACTCCCATCAACAACGAGTGAGAGACCCAGAACCACACCAACACTGCACGTTTCTCATCCTTGCCAACCTGGAAAGTGAAAAGACGTTAACTGCTCACGTGCAGAATGGCGGAGACAATCTTGACAGCAGTTTGAATGAAAAAATCACAGCGATCTTACTAGGAACTGAGGGTGTGACATTGCTGTTAAACACACACAAGGGAACCCTAGCAATCACAGCGATCTCACTAAGAACTGAAGGTGTGACATTGCTGTTAAACATGCACAAGAAAACCCTAGCTCTGTTTACACAGTCTCTGGGGGTGGTCGTCCCAGCCCCGAGCCCTGTGCTCTCAGACCACATCTACATTGGTGTTCACTAGTGATCCAGCGTTTCATGGATATTCACAAACTGGAGGGTATTCGAGATTAGTAGCAACCAGTATAATTCAACTGACTTGAGAGCAGAGCTTTAGGGGGTTGGCTGAAGGAGCTGGAGTTGTTCAGTTTGAGAATAGAAACTTCGGAGAAATGCAGTAGTCGTCTTGAACTATTTGAAGAGCTGCCATGTAGAAGAGAATGTAGACTGATTCTGTGTTGCTCCTGAGGACAGATAGACATTTAAAGAAAGGATAGAATTTTTGACTCAACTTGGGGAAGATGGTTTCAACAATTAGCACTGTGGAAAATGGAGAAGTCCTTATTGCTGGAAGTATTCAAGCAGAACTAAATGATGATCTCTCCAGTGTGCTGTGCAGAGGGACTTTCAGTGCTGAGTAGGGGGCTGGATAGTATCTCAACTCCCTTCTAGTTCTGAGGCTCGTGGTAATTTGTTGCTTCTTAGGGTACGTGGAAATTAGATGAATTAGCTCTTGAAATAACACCTGAGAGAAAAACAGACCCAAGCCTTCTAAAGAAGAGAAATAGGACTGTCTTCTCCCCACCAGCCCTCCTCTCTGTTTTGGCTACGCTCTGCGGGAAGAGGCCATTACTGGCTCATCGTGGTGACTTGCCCCACTTCCTGTGAGCGTTTGGGAGGAAATGGACAGCTACTGTTGCCATTCCTGCTATCAGAGGCCAGGGAACAAGAGTGGGGTCGGACTGGGGAGAATCTTTTAACTGCAGATCACATCCGACTTCAGAAATGGCTGGGGCTCCCAGACCCTGGCAGCTCCACTGTTGACTAAGTGGAGTCCTTAAATGAGGCTGCAAATGTTGGTCACCATGCAACTGAAAGGATGGATTGGGAACTCCCCATGTCTTGCCCAACAACCAGAGATTTAACCCTGGAATGGAGCATTGCTTGAGCTTTGAACCTGGGGCTCCAGCTGGGCGCCGTTGCAGAACTGGAGTGGGGTGATGTGTTCGGCAGCCTCGTACTTGCCACCGAGCCCTTGAGACTGCTTTGATCTGGTCTCCACTCCCTGCCTTTAGCAATGATGCAGTTCACGGGCAGCCCCAGTTTTTCAGAATAAGACAGGCTGGACTGGAGATAGGAATGTTCTGTGCCTGACCTGTAGGCCATGTGTTCTCCCGTTGAAATTTAGTTAGAGTTTGGTACCAACTGCTAGACCTTTGGCAGCAGTCACTCAGAGAGGAAGTGTTTGGGTTCAGGTTAGAGCCCTAAGATTCCAGCTCGCAATCCAGAACACAGATCCAAAGCCTTGACCTTTGGAGGCAGTTTGGGGAAAAAGCATGAACTCTGGAATCGGCTCACCTGCATCTGTCCCAGCTGACAGGCCCTGGGCGAGTCAGCCTCTCTACACCTCAACGGCCTCATCTGCAAAATGGAAACAGTGATCTGTGTAAAGTTCCCACCAGATCCTCGCTGAGTGCTCGGTCCAGTCCCTCATCTTCCTCTGCGCTGTGAAAACAGCTTCTGTCAGAAATCCCAAGAACTAGATAATAAAGCATCATTTTGTAAATATTAGTATGATGATAGAAAAGATGCAGCTTGCAGTGAGCTCGTGAACTGCTTGCAGTTGTCGGTCACTGATTTCCAGCATACTTACAGGTTCTTGTAGCCTCATGTTCCTCCACACAAGTCACCTGTCGGCTGTAGAAAAGGATATTCATGTTTAGAATTAATTTTGAGCGATTTATTGAAAGGGTGGGTTTGGTACTAATTTACATCCCTTAGTATTATCATCCTTCCTCAATTCTTAGAGCCTTTAAAAAAATTTTTTTTGCGTTTCTAAAATTGGAATGTGCCACACGATAAATGTCGAAAGAAATTGCCAGCCTTTCTTTTATCCCTCCAAATGCTAATATTAAGTGACCGTCTCCTTAAATCCCAGTTACCTTGGAATAGAGGGGCATTTACAACAAGGCTGTTTGTTTCCATTACCTTTTCCAAAGTTGTAGGTGACCAGGGACTAATGATAAAGCATCCTTCCCTAATAATCTCAGCAGGGAATTATGTGGCTGTGGGCATGATGGTTGTCGGTGCTGCTTTTCCGTTTTCTCCCGCTAGATCTTTCTGCTCCACCACACTCATTGCCCCTAAGAGACCAGAGGTTTGGCCTGAGCCTCCTTCCCTGAGGCTCATTTCCTCAAAGGTTAGACCACATCCAACCTGCTGGTGGATGGTTGGGCTGGTGCTCTTTGGGCAGGGGGACAGTATGGTCAGAAGTTAATGTGGGGACCTCTCCACTCTCTGGAGTATGTCTACGGAATCCGAACAAGAGAAGTCCAGCATCTACTTTCACTCACTCATAGAAAGAGGACGCTCAGGTACCCCAGGGCAGGGGTTTTGTGTGGGAGAGGCCTCTTAGCCATCTCATCAAATCTTTGGCCTGAGAGCCTGAATTGTTGCTGCTTGTGGTTCATGAGCTTTTTAGCCTTTTTATCCTCCGCCTGTCTCTAAAGAAGGCACAGCAGAAAGTGAGTTGAGCTGAGCTGCTTTCTGGAATGTGCTAGGATAGGTTATGAAAACTTGGCTGTTTTTTTCCCATTCCTAAGAACTTCTCCAGTAAGATAATCCTATAAAAGAGTTATTTATAAAAAGCTGTGACTGCATTCCTACATCTGGCATAGTTTAACCCCAGTCAAAGATGATGGTGGTGATGATGATTGTCATTAAGGAAAACTAAACCTTCTGTGTCACAAAGTAAGGAAATTGAGACTGACTATCTTTTTGTAATGTCATTCTTTCTTTCCCTGTAGATCTAGGGACCTTGTTCTTAGGATATTTGTTTTAGAACTTGATAACGTAAGGTCACTTAAATAAGGTCACCCTTAAAACTGCCTTTTTGGAACAGACGTATACATACTATATGTAATACTTTCTTTTATGTGTATTCCTAGTCTGTAGACGTCAGGGTTGCAACATGTAACTTACTCATTCCATTGTCCCAGCTACTCTCGTGATCTATAAATCCATGTAATACTATAAACAACATGGAAAGGCTTTCATATCTTAAGCACTCCAGACATTTGCTCTGTCAGCACTTCTCAAATTTGACCCCCGACATTCAGAAGAGAGAGAACAGGTAGTAGTGGTAGATGGAGGGGGTGTTCTGGGGGCAAATACAGAGTGATTACTTGGTTTATGATCTAGCAGTATCTGGGAATTCTGGATTGTATAGACTTGTGTGTCCCAAAGTAGTACATTTTGTCTGAATAAGTGGAACAGGTCATCAGATAATTTGTTGTCATCTCATTAGCACCAATGAAGTTCATGAATGTCTTCCAACAGACAGTGCAGCACTGAGCGACATTTTTGGATAGCACTTGCAAGAGCTTTAAGAGGAGTTCAAGGAGATTATACGGTTTTAGAAAGAGAGATGTCACTGTATAAATTATACCCCATATCTCTTAACTAAAGAAAATTTAAGTACCAACGCCTAAATAAAATATAAAAAATGTAAAAGAAATAAGCCAACTCAGTTTTTTGCTAAATCACATTTTGTGTGTGTGTGTTTGTTCTTTCCAGACATATGAAGATTCATGAGAAGGACCCTAACAGTGCTACAGCTGCAGCCCCTCCATCCCCACTGAAGCGCAGGCGGCTGTCCTCCAAAAGGAAACTGAGTCATGATGCTGAGTCAGAGAAGGAAGACCCAGCACCTGCTAAAAAGGTCCTCTCTGCTCCCATCACAGATGTGTCTAACCACAGGATTCTTGGCAGAAATACCTCTAGTCTTTATTTTCACAGTTTGGGGACTTGGCAGACATCCATCCTAAGCTTTTCCCTTGTGTTTTCCCACACTGTTTTGTAAAGTGTCTGCAGAAAAGAGTACCTGTGTGCATGTCCTCACTGAGCCCACTGATGACATGAAGAGCTTTCTCATTGTTCCCATGCTTGTTTCTCCAGTGAGAATGGAGGCTTCATAAGCATTAGAGACTCTCTTGTCCTCGCTCTTTCATTCCCAGTGCCTGTCAGATACCTGCTGCTCCATAAACATCTGTTGAATGGATGGGTGTGTGGGTGGGTGGGTGGATGGATGGATGGATAGTATCGTTCAGTGAGTACTTGTTGTGTGAATGAAAGACTGGTCATTAGCATCCTTAATATGTAGGAGGGAGGCATCCTTTTATACAGTCTCTGGATTTAGTGTTGGCTTCTTTTCTGAAGCAGACTCATGTGGGAGGCCTGCTTCATGACCTCACTTTTTTTCTTTTCCCTAAGATGGTGGAAGATGGGCAGTCCGGTGACTTGGAGAAGAAGGCTGATGAAGTCTTTCACTGTCCAGTATGTTTCAAGGAGTTTGTTTGCAAGTATGGACTGGAGACCCACATGGAGACCCACTCAGATAACCCACTAAGGTAGGAGAAAGGGCGGACTACACCTCTACCCTGGAAAGCTCTTTTTCACTCCTATTTCTTCTGGCATATGATATAATCTTGTTTCCCTTACTTCAAACTGGACGGAAATGATTTGACTTGGGTGTGATGACATTAGTAAGTCAGTTGAGAATGGTGTATGTTGTGGAGAAGTCAGGCTGGGAAGTGTCAGAGAGAAGGTGGCCGTAGCCACAGGATGTGTTCACTGAGGTTCACTGTGCTTCCTTCCCTCCTGGCAAGGCCCCTGGAGCAATCAACATGAGCCCCCCGTGCACAGGGAGTCTCTTCACAGGGGTTTTTTGGGCAGCAGACACATTTTCTTCACAGAAGGTGTTGCAACCCAGATGATTGTTAGCTGTGCTCAAGTATGTGGGAAGCACAGGAAGGACCTATCGGGTGCACATGAGTGGACTATATTGGTAGCACAGAAACCTAAGAAAGCCTTTAGGGTGAGACAAAGTTCTACTTCATGCAAGACCCTCAACCTGAAGTGAAGCCTGTCACAGTAAAACAGGAATAGGTGATTGTTCGCTGGTCCAGGTTCAATTTTAGGTTTTTGCTGTCTCCTGTTCTCTGATCCTCAGCCTTCTCAGGCAGAAAACGTGGATGGTAATATGACTTTTCAGCAGAATTCAGGATTGGAGTTGTGGGGGGGCTTGGCTTTCTTTCCTTAACCTTCTCTGAGAACTTTCTCATCAGGCTCAAAGTTCTGTGTTCTTAGTGAACAGGTAGACTTCGAACCTTTTCCTACAGAATTGCCACTTTTAAAATGCTGCTGCCATAGTTTTTAGGCATTGAAACAAGGCCTCTAGGGGCCTCTGGTGGAGTTGTGGGACTTGAAAGTAGCACGTCCCGAAGGGCACAGCTGAAGGCTCACCCTGAGCAGAGGCAAGCGCATGTGTGCTTGCAGCTTTGGGTTTCGGAAGGCAGCCTGGGAATGTAGAAATCTGGACATCTGTTCTTCCGACTCACTGATATATGGACCAGATTTCCTTCCTCAGGACATGAGTTTGGTTGTGACTTAGGAGTGAAAAGATCTGAGCAAGCTAGAGACTTTTGTGTTGGGGCAAAAGCCCGATTATATGGTAACTTAAAGCCCTGTCAAATATTATTATCCTTAATCCCATTAGCTTGACATTTTTCCATTAAGGGAAAAAAAGAATTTATGAAGAGTTTAAACTGCTGAGCAAATGAAGTGCTATAAAATGTCTTTACGTAACTCCCCTGTCTCGGGAAATTGCGCCATGCGTAGGAGCGGGTGTAGACTGGTGGTCAGGACCCCAGGATCCTAGTCCTGTCTCCGCTCACATGAGACCTCGACCAGCTGTATCTGAACCTCGAAGGAGAGCTGGACTAGATAATCCCTTTCAGGCCTTAAATTCTATGATTCTGTCTCTTAACAGTTGTTCTTCTGTCTACTAAGAAAAAGCATTTGGTTCTTCCTTTTGTAGGCCCTGTAGTTCTGAGAGATTCAGGAACTTGACTTCATGGTTTCATTAACGTCCAAAGCATCCCCAGGATGTGGGCTTGTGGTGGGTAGTGAATATTGAAATAGTTCTCTAGACCGAGGACCTGAGCAAACAGAGGTGAAGTTACCAGATGAGCCTCACATGGCGAGTCGTGGGCACAGGCAGGAATAGCAGGTGGGACCTTGACTCCTGCCTGGCGTTTCTACCAAATAGCCATCTGACCAGGCAGTACAAGAATGAAGGTGCTGCCTGTCTCTGAGCTCCCCCATATCTTTTATTTCACTTCATGTTTTATTCTGTGATCAGATATCATCTTAGGAACTTCCATTTGCCCCCTTCTAGATAATTCTGTCCTACAGGGAGAATAATCTGACTCTCACAAGAGAATTCTGGGCAGCTGGAGCCTGCACAGCACGGTGTATGGCAGTGACAGAGGAAGATCAAGTGTCTCTTCTTAAATGCTGGCCTGGAAGAGAGTGAGTTCTCCTGGAGCAGGGCCTTCTGGACAAGCACCTCCTTCAAGGACAGGCTGGGCTTGCTACTCAGAGAGGACGGAAATGGCAGTTGCAATGGACATTGGTTGTCCCATCCTGCACGATTTGATGGGTGTTAATTCACTCGCCGTGACTCCAAGGCTGACGGGGCAGATAGGCTGTAAAGTTGAACGTCAAGCCCTGCCTGTTTCCCTTGCCTACTCAGGAATAACGCCCTTTGTCTGGTGAGGGGTTGACTGGAGAAGTTTGTAGCCTGGCAGAGACTCAGCCCCTCCTGGCAGCCTTCCGTCCCACTGGAGCCCCTGGATGCTGTGCCCACAGCACAGGACATGGCCGTAAGAAGAGGTGGCTGCGCATCCATGGTAGGGGCAAGCAGGCCATCCCCTGTGTAGTGGCTGTTGCTGTGTGGGGTGGGGCTTGCGTCTGGAAACCAAAAAGAGTTGATTACAGAACATAGTTAATTTCCCTTTTCTCCTCTCTGCTCTGCCGTTCCACATAATAGCCTGCTATCAGAGGAGGCCATAGGGGCAGGCATGAGCCAGCAGAACCCAGCCAGGCAGTGAACTGTGACAGTAGCTGGTGGGAGAGACTGCTTGTTAACTCAGAGCTAAAATAGACACCAACTCTATTTGCAAACCCCAAAGGCAGCAGAACCACAGTGGGATGCTACCAGTTTAGGCAGAAAGTTTATAACTGACAACAGCTGCTGGATTCTCTCTCTCCTGCCCTTGCCCCCTACCCCCAAAGCTGGCAAGGTGCCTGTTTTTCCTTAATAAAAAGCGTTGGAAATCCAAGCTGTGTAAACGCTGAGGCTGTTCTCTTCCATTCCTGTGTTTCAAATTAATGAATTGTGAGTGTAGAGCAAAAGGAAGACATGAAGCCACTTGTATTGATTCTGGCTCTTAGTGTCAGGTGTTTCTTGTGCTCGGACATGACCAGTGATAAATACAGCCCCCCAGAGAAGGAGAAGTGCCAGGCCTATTGAGAGCTGGCATTTGGAATCGGAGGTGACAGACAGAATGTTCAGCGAGCAGGTGGATGCAAAGAGGACATCCCTGTGTGAGGATGTTTTGGGTGTTGAATATCTTCCTTGGTTATAAGAATAGAACAGAGTAACAGGCCGTACACTGCCATGAGTAAAGTTAGCTGGGAGGGAAGTCCAGGTCAGCGCCGACCAATACAAATAGGATGCGAGCCACACGTGTCATGTAAAATTTTCTAGTAGCCACATTTTATTTTATTTTTTATTTATTTATTTTTTTTGCGAGAAAGATGGGCCCTGAACTAACATCTGCCAATCCTCCTCTTTTTTGCCGAGGAGGACTGGCCCTGGGCTAACATCCATGCCCATCTTCCTCTACTTTATATGGGACGCCGCCACAGCATGGCTCAACAAGCGGTGCGTCTGTGCGCGCCCGGGATCCTAACCGGCAAACCCTGGGTCGCTGCCACCGCCGCCGCAGCGGAGCGCGCGCACTTAACTGCTTGCGCCATCGGGCAGGCCCCTTTAGTAGCCACATTTTAAAAAGTAAAAAGAATCAAGTGAAATTGATCATGCTCTGTTGCTTTCCAAAATGTAATGTCAACATATAATCAGTATAAAAGTTGTCAGTGATATATTTTACTTTCTTGTTTACATAAGAGGTCTTTGCAATCTGGCATGTGTGGTACAGTTGCAGCCCATTCAGTGGGTTCAGTGTGAACCAGCCACCTTTCAAGTGCTCAGCTGCCCACCATGCAGTTGCAGATCTAGGACAAGCCCACCTGTAGCGGGGGTGGGAGCCAAGGCAGTACTTTGCTGCACAGGCCCCTTGTCTTGTGTCTGAATGACTGTCTCAGCCTGGCAGCTGGGCTTGGAGGGCTGACATCTGGGTAGTCACCGTGGCTCTGTGGCTGCTGCTGAGGGCAAAATTTGGCAAAAGTTATTGTATAATCTTAACCCAGCTTCTTGATCAAAGGAGATCAGGTAATAAATAATTTTTAAATTAATTTCAGTTAAAACATATCCAGCAAATGATTAAGTGCTTATTGTGTGCCAGGCACTTGACCAGACCTGAGAAAAAAACAGTGATGTTGGAGACAGGGCCCCTCGAGGGTCAGTCAGAAGATAAGAGAATGGGCGGTTATAAAACAGAGCAAAGGGGGGTCAATTCGCGGCCCAGTTGTCCAGGCAGAGGGAGCCTGGCCCCGTCAGTGTAAAGCTTCCCTTGACATTCACCTCGAGTGTGGTGGCGCTTCACTGTGTTTGCTCGGGGTCGAGGCCCTCCTCAGTCTGATCAAATTATTGATCTTGGTTGTCTCTAAGAAAAACTTGAAGGCGATGTCAAGAAAAACTGAAATCTATGTCAAGAATTAGTACATGGGAACCCGAGTGGGCTCTGACCGGCACACACTGTGTGAGGGGCAATAAGTGCTGCTGCGGGTGTGGAGGGCGGGCTGAGGGCCCTCCCTCCTTGCGGCAGTGGAGAGAGATGCCAAACCTTCTTTCTTCTGGATTCCCAAGTGTTCCAAGGAATGTTCAACTCCCTTCACTGCACCCCATACACACACCGCCCCATCACCTGCAGGGAGACCCTAAGACAAATTCACGTGGCATTGGTCCCACACTTGTTAAATGTCATCCTAAAAATAGGGAAAGGACATAGCAAAATATTCATCAGTGTGACGAGTCCCAGGGGTCTGCCCTAGTAGATGCCCTAGGTGGAGGCAGATTCAAAACGATGCTGGGGCCGAGGGTAGAGGGAAGGACACTTCACCTTGCCTGGCCTAGAAGTTGGAGGTGCCTTTGTCAGATCTGCCCCGACTCCACCCTGCCCAGGGGGCCTCTCCAGGACTTCTGGGCTCACGCCAACTCGCCTGTTGTGAAGTCCCTCAGACCTGCCCCGGCTTCGCGCCATGCTGGTTTGGTTGAACAGTTTGAGCAGGGTCGGGACGCGGTGTGCAGCCTGGCAGCTTGCTGGGCAAGGGGAGGGCAGCCCCTGTCGCAGGGCCCGCACTGTTGCTCCCAGCAACTGGGAGA